ATGTATGTATGTATGTATGTATGTATGTATGCATGCATGTATGTATATGTTTTAAAGATGAAAATACTGAAAAGAGCCCAAATACGAACCTGGAAAATCTCAAAACCTGCGATGTCCAGAATACCAATGAAGGAGGCTCCCTGCCTCTTGGTTCTGTCCAAAGCTTTATTAATGCGATGGACGAGCCAGCGGAACAGACGCTCGTATGTTGCTTTAGCCAGAGCCTCGACAGCAAAGTCAGCCTTGAGTGATGCACAGAAGAGATCAGGAGGGGAGCAACAGTGAGACAAAGACAGAACGAATGGAAGCAAAGCGTATGCAGGCATTTACCATGTAAAAAGAAATCTTGTTGCATCACTATAACTTACACAGATATATCAAGTAAATCTATAAATACACTATTCTTATAGAAAACTATGAACTGCTGATGTTAAAATTCTCGCATGTATTAAAAGTAAATTTATTTTAAGTATGACACAAACTATCTCAGCTGTCACTGGAAAAACTCAGGAATCAAGTTCTGCTGAAACGGAACCAGATACTCAGAAGTAATTTATTAAGACAGAGTGTCAGTGTTTCCCCTACCATTATACAAGCAGGGCGCCCCGCCCTGTCAACATAACCGAGCGCCCTGCTGCCTACCGACACCCCCCCCCCCCCCACACACACACACCCCAGTCGACAACTACTGGCATCGACACTAGCGGCGCACAATACAGACATGCTAGCTACAAAGATACGACTACGGAGGTAGCACTCGTCTCCCTCACGCTGAGCCATCTCAACCCCCCACCCCCTTCGCCGCTCAAAAACTGTCGGTAAAAACAGCGTGCAACACAGACATGTTTCTGTCTTCACCCCCCACCCCACTGTCGACAAAAATCATGGAAGATATGAGCGCCCATCCAAGTCCAGTAAACTAGTGGAAACACAACTGGTAGTTTTTGTTTCAGTTCTTGTTTTAAGTTTAGTAATTAATACTCCTAACAACATATTTTATTTGTAGTTTTAATGTATTCTGGTGTCTTAAAAAGCCACATGGTTGCACATTTTTGTGCATACAATAGAAAAAGATTAAATGTGCTTTTATGCTAAATGTCAGTGTTTTGTCAGTTTTTATTTATTTATTATTATTGTTATTAGTTTATTTGACAGGGACAATGCACACAAACAGAACAGAACAAGTTTGTGACCGATGCGTTGTACAAAGAGTATACAGTAGTTCAAGTTCAAGTTCAGTAAACTTTGTTATGACGTGCCAGGCTGTAACACTCATCACGTTACTCCCAATCTCCCTCCTTAAATACACAAATTAAATTTAAATAATTTAACATTTTAAATAACCAATCCATACAGCATGGATTCTTTATTTAAAATGTTACAGCATTTAAATTTAATTTGTAGAGAAGAGAAGAGCAGCAGGACAGCAAAGGGATGTCACAGCTTCAGCTCTGCAGCACGGAGCAGAAATGTTTTTCTTGATCAATTACACTGAAACAACTGGACATAAAAGTTATTTTTAAATATTTTAGAACTTCTAACACTTTTATATGTTGTGATTATGATAATTTTTTTGATGTGACATACTTTGAATTTTAAGTTGGAAGACAAAAGTCGATCGGTGCATTTGGACAGCAAAAGGTTAACCCTTCACAAAGAAATGTGTGTGTGTGGCAGAGAAGGAGATCAGCTGATCGGCTGCAGGAGGGAGCTTTCCCTTCCACTTACGGGCTGCAAACATGGTGCAAAATAATTTAAAATTATTTATTTAAATAAACAATCCATGGCTCATCCATCAATCAGCCAATTATGTCACATCCAATCTTACTTTGAAAGACCCACGATAAACAAACCGCAAAGTGAGCGAGGGACTACTGTATCACTATAGTTAATTTGCAACTCCTGTCCCTGGTTGGGCATTTCTACACATTAAAATACTGTACACACAATTTATCAATCAATACACAGTAAGAATACATACGTATTCCTGCCTACATATTCATGTAATCAACCTTACAAGCTCCAAATTTAATTCAGTTACCTGCCTTATGTTTTTCTGGTTCAGTGAATGATATACTGAGATACATGGCAGTAAAAATCATCACAGCCTCTTTGTGTGTCAGACTCTAATACATTGAATGCTCTTCATCAACACCAGGTTTGTTTGTCATGGTATAAATGTAATGTTCAATGTTATGTATAAACATTACATTGTTGGAGTATATGTGGATTTGTAAGAGTACTGGTACTACCAACATCAGCAGTTTTTTTTTCTCTGTATTTTCTATACTAGTACTGTGCTCAGTCACAAAGCCCAGTTTTATTGACTTGTCATTTATTGGACATGCACAGAGCTGGAATAAACAGACGTTCCAAGTTGCTGTTGTGATTTGGTTTGAACTTTACTTGAAGATGAGAGGAACAAAAGACAAACTGATCAGCCACAGTCGAGTAACAGAGAGCAGAAGATGATATGTGAGACCATGGCTACATGCTGATAGAAAATGAAACGTGGACCTTACCACATGGAAAACATGGAAGTATTGTAACACACAAGAACAAAACATCATACCAACAAAAACAAAGAGGTGATTACATCAGAACATTGCACCGTGCCATGATTACAGTACTGTAACTTTTCCACCTTCAGCCCATACGTGTGCAATATACATAACAGGAACAAGTCATGAACACTACACATCGTAGACGTCACAAGACTTAGCTCTTTTACAAAATACACTTTAATTCCCAATAATAATAAAAAAGACTTCTGGTTTGCTTCCCATCCAGGGAGTTTTTCAATTCAAAACTGAAGAGTGTGGAGTTTAATGTTTTAAACTGAGTGAGCCACACTTTCCAGTTTTGAATTGAGGACGCTCCCTGGAAAGGAAGTAGCACGTCTTCAGCAACAGAACAGAAGTCCAGTGTTTCTTTTAATATATGCCATGTCCTGGATGACTGAGAAATTACATGAGCATATTGCATATAATATTAGCATGTACATTTCCCATGTAACAAAAATCAAAAGTTCCCAACGTACGTGACAAAACATTAACTGTGACAGTAGCCCAAGAAAACTAACCTGTTCCTTGGTCTGTGCTTTCTGGACATAATCTCTTCCCACTTTGATTCTGGGAGTCAGGATGGCTCTGGTAAACTCCATCACATTCAGCCCCAGCAGATGACACAGCTTCTGAGCAGCTGGGAAACAAAAATGGAGAGCAATGGAAAACGTACACTGTGAAATTTCTTTACTTTTTTGTCCATTTAAGTTTGATCAAAACAAAATAAAACAGAAAGAAGAAAAAAATTGGCTTATTATTTTATTATACTAGCAGAACTCGGTCTCTTTGTTAAAATCAGCTCAGTTGGACTTTATCACGAAGCTTCACGCATTATGAAATCTGTTGGACATAAATATTTTTCATAGCTGGAGATTGGAAAAGAAAAGAGGAAAGAAAATAAGAGATTTGGACCAGCCAAGTGCTACAGCTTATGAAAATACATTTACTTCATGCTGCATTCTGTTGCAGCATTTGGGAATATTTGAGCTCCGTCATTAACCAAAGACTCTTTCTCCCGCCCCAATTCTCACTTTGTTTAGTAACTGAGCAGAGCCACATGTGGAGGGACTAAAAGGCTGCTGCTGATTCCTTTCAGGAGTAAACATCTTTATGAATGGAAAGGTTCAGGACAAGCTGCACAGAATGAGGGAGGACAGGACAGGAGAGGACATTAAGCTAAGAAAAGTTGCTGTTGTGTGTGAGTCGTTCTGAAACACTTACCTGTATTATCAGGCATGGAGGCCTGATCAGTGTTCCTCTCCTTTTTAAAAACTATGTTCCCAAACTGAAGGACGGAGGACACCACCTTCAACATGGCTGCAAATGTCAGAATCCACAGAAAACATTTGTATATAGTTATTTTGTTTTTAATGAAATTAATACATTTTTAAATAAATAAATAAATAAAACAACATCAGTGTGGTAAACAATGCTTTAGATGTAAACATGGTTTCAATATTGAATATAGACCAGCATGAGCTTCTTCAGAAGCTTGTTTGTTTTTATCTCACACATACCCAGAATCTCCTCATGGGCGAAGCTCATGATGTGCATGGCTTCCATGGTCTCCTGGAAGTTGTCTTTGTCCTGTTGGCCCGGGATCGGGATGTTACCATTTGACAGGAAACGGTAGTTATTGAAGCCTTCTAAAAGCAGATCCGCTGAAGATAAAAACAAAACAATCTGACTAGGAGTACAAAAACTTTTAACACCAAAACACCTTTTCAGAATAAAGTACATCAATTCATCCATGTTTGTTTGTTTTTTAGCTGGATTAATTCTGTTTACAGTTTGGAGGAGCTTTCATGATCGTTCAGTTCTCAGTCTACTCACACTTAAGGTGCTCTCCGGCTCCTGCCAGCAGCTGGTAAAAAATGTGGAAGGTGCGCTCATCTTTGGCTTGACGGATGGCTCTGGATTTCTCTAACAAATCTGACACAGGACAGTCAGGAGAAACAAATCCATTCTAGAAATGAGCTGATACTGAAGGCTGGGCTGATAAGAATAAATCTAAAACTCAAAGGCTTTTGGACTAACCTCGTGTGAGGTAAGACATTCATGTTTTATGATTATATGCAAAAATATATGTAAATGTTACAGAGTATCCAAAAACAAAATTTGTTGAAACAAAATTCACCTGAAAATGTTCTGTTTGCCTTCAGTATAAAAACTGGAGTCATATTTTGTTTGAGTCTATCATTAGCGTGACTGAATGAGTTAGATATCAGTTTAAAACAGGATACAGGTTTCAATATTGGCTCCAACGATGTATCCTGCAACATCAAAGTTGATCCGAATGAATTTCCCCTGAAAAAAAAAATTACACAAGATATGAATAAAATAAAAAGACAACTCAAAACATACAAACTTTAGGACATTTGATAGTTAGGTAGTTTTGCAAGTCTGAGTCTGAAAGCACCGTTCCTAAACATGAATAATGAAACGAATAATGTGTGAAACGTAAATCTTTCATTTGCTAAAACAAAACAGAACAAGCCTCATCAATTTCAGTATTTTAAAGAAAACAGTAGGGAACAACAGAATGTTATATTATTACTCTTAACAACACAGATTTTAATACATCTCCCTGTGTACGTTTCTCCTTCCTGTTCTCTCAAACCCAGCTGGTCGAAGCTGGAGGTTTCTTCTTCTTACGAGGGTGTTCTTTCTTTCCACTGTTGCCTTTATACTTGCTCACGATGGGAGACAGTGATGAAAAGAAGACTCAATGCAATCTGCTGCTTCCTTAGATAGAGAACTTTTACTTATTGGCTTTTTATGTATATGAGTGTTTCTGTTCAGTGTACTGAGACAACTTTGTTGTGACTTGGTGCTATAGAAATAAACTGAATAAATGATCAAAGTTCATTAAATGAGAGACATCTTTGTTAACTGATTCAGTTAACGTGAAGACAGGTGACCCAGCAGAGACAGTAAAACATCTGACAGAACAATGATGGTCTTTGCAGGGTCTTATTGAGGTCTTCATGCAGTTTTTTAGAACACAGTGGGTGCCCCATTACCATTACCCATTGCCATCTTATTTGTATAAAAAAAAATTAAAAATCTGTATGCCTTTTTATAACTGTCTATTGGTGTCGCTGTTGTCCATTGTTGTCATCATTCTTTGTTGAAATCAGGTCTCTCTTGTAAATGAGTCCTCAAGGCTCAATGGGATTTACCTGTCTTAATAAAGGTTGAATGAAAAATTACACGTGATGGAGAATGTCTATGGTGGTTCTGAGCATGCACAAAACCTCTGCAGCAAGGCTTTATCATTGTAGCTGCAGCTTATCCATGATGTGGGATGTGGCTTGGTCATTAGATTTTGAAGAACTGGTTGTGCTGGCATCCTATCCAGGGTTGGACTCCATTAGTTGTGTTGTGTAGTCAGGGCATAAGAAGGACCCTCTTACCTCGACGGAAACAAATTGGATTCATGATGACAACTGGGTTTTTTGCTGTTTGGCTGGTGAATTCTGGATTGTCTATAAATTCGTGTGGATGTGTCAAAACTCGACAGCACTCAGATTGAATTTGGGGAGCTGCAGCAGGGAGCTGGAGCAGGCGGTTATCAGGACTGTGAACTTTTCTGGCAGCACCCATGAACGGCGGGAATAATCTTGGACAAGCTGTGAGCTCGACTTTTGGCGTAAAGGATCAATTCGGCTATTTTGGAGTTCCATCAGAGGAATATATACCAGCGAGACTTTAAAAATAAAGAAACAGCAATTCACGAGTTCTGCCAGACCCAAACTGTGGCCCTGATGCCGGACTTATCTCAACTCTTCCTGGAATGTTTTGAAAACAACAAAGATGCTTTGTCTGTCTCCTCACCCCTCCCTTCCCCAAGGCCGTGGACATGGGACAGAACCTCAACTGAGCTGATGATGAATGACACCTCTTATCTGGACAATGGCTGAGGGGGGGCTCTGGACTATGCTAGGACTTTCCCTTAAAATTAAATGTCTTCACCGCCTATTTGTACATGTATAACGTCTATTTATGTTGTTTTGCTGTGGTAGGTTTTTTTTATGCCTCAAATCGTGCCCTCTATAGGACACAGCCTGAGAGATCTTTTTTTATACTGTCTCTCCTCATGTTTTCTTCTCTTTTCTCATCTAAGCAAAATATTATTCTGAATAAGAATAAGAAGGCCGCGCTATTTATAGCCGCAGCTTTGTGCACTCCGCCCATCTTTCGGACGACTGTACGTACATATTTGCGTTGTATCTTGGTGCAATGCCAGTAAAGTTTATTCTGATTCTTCTTCTGATTAGGCCATTTCAAACTTCTAGCTCATGGCAGCATCCCGACTGAGTCAGAGAGACTCATGCTTGAAGTGTTGTGTAGTTATGAACATACGTACACGGAGTGTAAGTGCAATCACTGTGTTTCCCATAGGTCACTTGCCTTGGCAAGGTGCTCATCTCTTTGGGAATTTTTTTTTTTTTTGGGGGGGGGGGGGGGGGGGGGGG